CCTCCTTGGTGAACACAAAGCCCACATTTCCCCGGATATGAGGCAGCAGTCTACAAAGAGAAGTTTACAGAGAGACGGTCACCTTTCAGCACCATTCTTCTCCAGGAAAAGGGAGAAGGGCACAGATGGCCAGAGAATTAACTGACTTCTCCAGAGCTGGGTTGTTTTCCAGATGCCCTCGGATGGCCTTGCGCATCATGGTGTTCTTGCCCATCAGCACCACAGCCTTCCCGCGGAGGGACATGCGGATCTGCTGCATCTGCTTTGACCCGACGTTGTCTGCTCCCACAATGAAGCATTTTGGATAATCATCCAGAAGTTGCTACAAAAACCAGCCAGAAACAAGCCAGGTTTAACAGGAAGAAAAGGGAGAAGGCACATCAGGAGAAACCAAACCCCACAATGACTGGTTTCCATCTCACTCCCCTTCTTCTACGCTTTTTAAGTGACTCAGACATTGGGCCAACCCCTCCCACTTGGAGCCACCTGAGTTGTAACACTACCAGGTTTGTCAAAGATTTGCTTGCTGAGTATAAATAGTGAAAATTGGGCTTGAACTTTCAATCGGAAAAATTTTAATTTAGGTTTCATTTTTAACTTTTCCCAATTAGGAGATATGTTTCTGATTCACTAAAATGGCTTAAAAGAAAAAACTGTTCCAAGTTAGGATTTACAACTTTCAAAACACAACATAAAGGAAATACGACGAAAACTTGGAGAATCTAGGTTATGGGTACACCATTATTGTACAATCCCGCTAAGTAAGTATTGTCTCTGAAAACCTTCATAATAAATGGACAAGAATAGAGACCAAGCTCCACATTCTGACAGTAGCATTATTAGAATTTCTGGGTAGGGAGGACCCACTTCAAGGTCTCTGAAAAGATAACATTCATCTGCACATTGGGTTTCTTGACTGCCAAGACCTAAATACGCAGCAACTTGCGTTTTTATAATGAGGCACTTTGATGAGCATTATTTGAATGCCAAAACTGGGAATGCCACTTAGTTATCTCAGGAGGCACTAAAACTGCCTGAGCCTGTTTACCTGCAACAGGTGGGGGTGGCACACAAGTCTTTGAAAATTCTGAAGATTAAATGAGATTTGCCTAAAATGACCCAATTCAGCAGCTGATGGTCCCTATCAGCCCGCGGCCCAGGCAGCAAGTTGGGCACCTCGACCCACCCCGCACTTACGATGATCTTAAGGAAGTAGTTGGACTTCCAGGTCGCCCTGTCTTCCCTGGGCATCACGGCGGTGCGTCAGGGATTGCCACGCAGGGTTTAAAGACGATGTCACTGAGGAGAGAGAAGGAGCTTAGAAACTCCGACACCCGTCCCCACCGCCCCGCCGGACTCAAAAGCCAGAGGCCTATACCGAGCCGGCCACACGTGAGAGCCCGCCGGCCTGGCCCGGGTTGCCGCACCGCACCACTCGGAAAGCGTGAGCCGCTGCCGAAGCCCCAGGCCACATAGGCCTGAACCTCGCGGGCTCCTAATCTGCCGCAAAAACGCCCATCCTTCCCGCGGCCAGTCCCCCGGCGCCATTTGGTAGACAGACAAACCTCTCACGAGGGCGCCTAGAGAAAGGAGAGCCGCGCGTAGTCACGGCACCTTTTATAATCGAACAAAGTGGCCAATCAGAAGCCTCAGACAGCGCCCCCACCTATTGGCTGACGCTGACGCCTGTCTGGCGAAGCGGAACTGACATAGACAGCCAATGCGTGAATGGCTGCCACTCCAGCCTACGGGAAGCCGCCTTTAAATACGGAAGTTAAGGACGTGCTGCCTAGTGTTGCAGGAACGTTCTGAGAACTGCTTCCCTCTGCTGGGCTGGAGCTGCTTTTATGTAGGCGCGGCAATTTGTGGACTTTACGTTTCTCGCGTCACCGGGCCACGTTGCAAACTAGAGTATGACGTGGAACTGGGAAAGAGTTGCGCTTGCCTTAGAAAGAGAATGGTCTCTGTCTTCTCTACAGTTTGTTATTCCCCCTATAAACACAGAGGGATCATTTAAAAACAGATAACTTCTTCATCTGCTCAAAATTCTTCAAAGGCTCCCCAAATTCCACAAAGTAAAAAACCTAACTGGCCTACAAGACCCTACATCATCTGCTCCCAACCTCTACCCTTATAATCGCATCTGCTATTTTCCCACTGACTCATTGCCTTCCAGCTAGATGACATGCCCATTTTAGGGCTCTTGCACCAGTTACTCCATCTTCTTGGAAGTCTCCTTGCAGATACCCACAATCCTCCAGCAAGGCTTGGCTCAAACATCACCTGCTTAACCAGGACTACCCTATTTTAAATTACAAAAAATAAAAAATAATTCATTCCCACTCTCCCTTCACTCTTTTTTCAGTAGCACTTACACTTTCGAACACACTATATAATTTATTACATTGTTGTTTGAATGTCTCTCCCTGCAAGAATGCAAGCTCCACAAGGCAGAATTTTTTTTAATCTTCACCCGAGGATATATTGATTTTTTTTTTTTCCCCTGAGGGAGAGAGAGAAAAGGAGAGAGAAACGACGACGTGAAAGAGAAACATCAATCCACCGGTTACCTCCCTTACTGCACCACAACCAGGGATCACCTCTCAACCTGGGTATGTGCCCAGGGAGGGAACCGGCAACCTTTTAGTGTACAGGTAGGCACTCCAACCAGCTGAGCCACCTGAAATTTTTGCCTTGTGCCTAGCACATTATAGGTATATGAGAAATATTTGTTGAACGTATGAATGCAGGGTTTGCAGCCACGTGACCTGGGTCTTTGCATTCTGTTCGTTCCCATCTATGTCATCTTAGGAAATGATTTCACCTTGCTGACTCAGTTTCTCATTCCTTATCTGTAAAATAGGGTAATAGTATTCACATTCTAGAGTCGTGAGGATTTCATGAGATATTTGTTCACATTCTAGAGTTGTGAGGATTTCATGAGATATTTGTTAAGACTTAACACAGTTCCTGCAATGCAGGAGGGGGATACTAAAAATATTAGCTTCTTTTATTATACATTCATTTAACACTTATTTGAACAATTGTACTATATCGATAAGTATTTTTTTGCCCCGACCAGTGTAGTTCAGTTGGTTGGGCATCATCCTGAAAAGCAAAAGGTCACCAGTTTGATTCCAGGTAAGGACACAGGTGTGGGTTGGTGGTCTGGTCGGGATGCGGACGAGAAGGCAACCAATCGATTTTTCTCTCTCACATTGATGTTTCTCTCCCTCTATTTCTCCCTCTCTTCCCTCTCTCTAAAAAATTTAAAAACCTGACTGGTGTGGCTCAGTGAATTGGGCTTTCTCCTGCAAACCCAAAGGACACTGGTTCAAATCTGGTCAGGACACATTGCCAGATTTCTGCTGGCACCCAGGGTGACAGCATGCAAGAGGCTGCAGACTGATGTTTCTCGCCCTCTCTCTCCCCCTCCTTTCCCCTCTCCTTTTTATTTTTAAAATAATAAATAACTGAAATCTTTTTTTTAATATATTTTTTTAAATTTTTAAATGAGCTTAGATACTACAGCAGGAGAGATGTTTCTATTTTTACTCTGCACTTGACCAAGTTAGAAATCTCTATATATTCTTTTTATTCTATATTTTGTTGTAAAGCTTCCTAGTGCCTCTGATCATGAGCCTGTTTAGAGAGATGCTGGAGTTGGTTTCTGCTAAGATCCTTGTTGAATGACAAGGTATCACTGCATGCTCAGCGTTGTGCTAGGTACTTTGTACGCATTACAGTTGTTAGTCTTTGCAACAATTCCCTGTGGAGGCACAGCCTTAGTATTTCCATTTTATTAATGAGGAAGTTCAGAGAGGTTAAATAATTCCCCCAAGTCCTTCAGTCAGTTCATGATGGCTTCAGAACTTAAATCAAGGAGCAAATTCAAAGCCCATGGGCCTCGTTACGCTAAAGTCCCTTCCAAACCCTGAGGCTGTCACCCTCTAAACACACTTTTCCAAGGATATATATGTTCACAGATGCTTTCCCAAGGACATCTCAGCTCTGCTGATATAAATATCATCTCTAATTTCAGTACATCAATATAATGGAAAACAATGAATACATTTTAAAATGATGCAGATCTGTATTTCTTGATATGGAAAAATTCTCACAGAGTACATTTGAGTGAAGAAGCAAATTACAAGGAATCGTTCTATATCCATGTCTATAAATAAAATAAATCCAACATGGGCTGGAAGAATAAACTGAGTCATTATCTTTGGTTGAGGGTTGAAGGTAATTTTCACTTCTGAGCTCACTGTGAAATGGGCAGGGTTCAGCCTGGAATTCAAAAGGCGGCATTTAGAATGCCATTCCAAACAGGGAAACTGAAGCCAAGGCTCAAGAAGGAGGAAAGCTGTCCAGGAAGATCCCAAGGAGGCCAGGGATGGGGATGGGCTTGGGGAGAAGTGGGGCGGGGAGCAGGCTAAATTCTGGCTCAGAGCCATGCAAATATGAACATGACCGTCAGGGGGCAGTAGAGCCCAATCACCAGCTGTTAGTCTCCCCCTTCACCGGGGAGGGTTCTACATCCCAGGTGTTGTGCCAGCACGTGGTGGGGGCTGTCTGGTCAATGCAGGAACACAGGCAGAGGCAAGCCTTGGGTTCATATATCTTGTCTCCGCACTCGCTCAGATTGCCTGCTGCATGTTGGCTCTCCTCTTTGAACCTCTTTCCCCATCTGCCAACGAGTGTAAGACCACACACAGGCTAATGAGAGGATGCCCCTGGGGAATACAGGCAGGGCCCCATGAAGCCGTTCCTCAGCCTTTCCTGACCAACAAAGCTCAAACAGGGAGCCAGGAGAACCTGCACTCACAGACGAGCATCTCCTGAGGCAGGGGTCCCATCCCCAGGGCTTTTTGCCTCAAGTAAGGGAACACGGATGATTTATCCTCAAACTGTGGTTCTCGTGAGCCTGGGAGGGTTTGGTTTCTCGTCTGGGACTGAGCTGTTCTCTCAAACCACAAAAGAAGAGGCACAAGCACAGGTCAAAATAATGGCAAACTTTATTGGCATAAATCACAGGAACTGAAATGGGGAAAAGCCAGGTTAAAAGTTTACAGAGAAAAAAATTAAAATCACATCATCAAATGACCACTGACCCGGAGGGCAAACCGCAGACACCCGCTCCTCTAGGGGAGGGGTCTGGGGTTGGTCATTGTAAACTAAGCAATAAGGCCTATGGGTAGAAGTGGAGCCGTCAGACCTTTGGAGCGGCCTGGCTGACCTCCCCAGACCCGGCTGCTCCCAGCCCTGCCACGGAGGGACCCCCCACTGGGACCCCAGTGCACTCAGCCTCGGCTATGAGGCTAGCAGAGTGGTCTGGATCTTCCTCACTGTAGACCCCACCGCAGCCCCTCTCTGCCCACCAGGAACCCCAGGTCTGCCGGCTCCTGCTTCATCGTTGGCAGAGAAAGTTCTGGGGGCTTCCACGACTTCAGCAGGATACTGGCCCTCTGCCCAGAATCCTATCACGCTCCCTTGCAACAACCTGGGCCCTTTTCCCCAGACCTCCGGTTTCCAAGGAGGGCAGAAAATTTGGGGAAGTGATGCACCCAGTGGAAACAAGACCCATGGTCAAAGTCAGATACCAGCTTTCCTGAGGAGGAGGAAGAAGGAGCCCCAGAGAAGCAGTGAGGAGGCCGAGAACATTCGGTGGGTTCTTTAGTTTACAGGGGAACAGACGCTCCTCATGGCTTAGACAGGAAACAGCACCCCCAAAGTATACTTTCCCCTTCTCCTCCCTCAGGAACAGGATGGATGAGGTTCACAATCCTAGGCTCAGAAGGGCAAGAACCCTCAGGCCAGTTTCAGTTAAGAGCTTGCTGGCCTGTGCAGTAAGGAAGGGGATTCAAAATACAGCAGTTTATAAAACAGTCCTGGTGAGCTGTGAAGTTAAAGAAGGGGAGCCTCAGGGCTGCTCCCACTTCACCTGCTTATGCTGAGAAAAAATAAAGTACAAATGGCTCCCCCACCCCAAGCCCTCAGTACAAGGCAAACCCTGCCCCACAGCCACCGACACCCACAGGACCAGTGGCGATGGACAAGGAGGAGAGTACAAAAAGGGGACGTCTTTTTAAAATCTCTTCAAAATCATTTTGTGTAGAGAAGTAAAAGCAACTCAGACGATATGAATTCAAACCTCAGTGTAGAAATCTATCAAAGTCGGTACAGTGTCCAGGCACGAGGTGAAAGGCCCCACCTACGCCGTCCCCAGAGACGGAGAAGTGACTATAAAACGTTATTGCTGGAGAAGCCTGTCTCAGTAGAATCGGAGCAGTTAGGAGGGGCAGGGGCCAGTTGCCCAGGTCTGGGAGACTGGGACGGCAAGGGGGGCACACGGAACCTTTCGCGGCCCCTGGGCACGCCGACCCTGGTCAGATGGATTTATGCTGGCATTGTCTTGGGGGGGGCAGCTGTCCCCCAACACTCTCAGAACAAGGATGGTTTGGTCAGAGGGAAATAAAGATAAAAAGAAACCCCATCTGACCCTGCCTGCCCTTCCCCTGGCTCCACTGCCGAAACACGAGTAGGAGGTGGCCCCAGTGCGGGGCGCTAGCCTGGCCAGGCGGGTTCATGGCGCGGGGCCCTGCAAACCCCATCTCTGGGGAGGAGGGAGAGCTGGCGGCCTGGGGGCGGCTGCAGGAGTGGGAGGCCCAGAGGCTCTGGCAGAGGGAAGAAAAGCAGGTGGGGCCCTTTGAGGCCCTCTTGCCACCCTGCACAGCCGAGGACACGGGTTCCAGTTTCAGTCGGGCTTGGCCCTTCACCCCTGGGCGAGGCCTCTGGGTCACAGTAGCAGTTGGGGAGGCTGGGCCAGGGGACAGGGTAGATGAAGGGACCAGGGCGCCTAGCAGAAGAGTTTGAGGAAGCAGTTCTGACAGTAAGGCTTGTCGTTCTGCTCCTTGAAGGTGCCCTTGTTGAGCTGCTTGAGGCAGAAGGCACAGACGAAGTGCTCGGGGTGGAACTTCTTGGCCATGGCGGTGATACAGCGGCCCGTGATGGGCTTCTGGCAGCCGGAGCAGAGCGAGCCGCGCCGCTCGTGGTAGTGCACCTCACAGTAGGGCTGCCCGTCATGCTCGAAGAAGCTGCCATTGATGAACGGCGTGAAGCATTCCTGCCAGGGGGAATGGGGGCGAGGCGGGGAAAGGGGGCTCAGCCTGGGGCAGGGGCCCGAGGGGCGCCCCGTGCCCTGGGCAGCAGACAGTCATGGTCGTCACGCTCCCAGCTGTGCAGCATTGCCCACGTGCCAAGTGCAACACTAAACACAACTGAATTCTCCCAAAAGAGAAGGCAACTGAGGCATGAAAATTAAGTGACTTGCCCAAGGTCATGCAGCCACTAAGCTGAAGAGCCTGGCCTTAAACATAGGTCTGACTCTTGGGCACTACACCTGAAGGCTGTAACAGCATGCCCTGAAACCCTGGGGCTGAGGGACGGGTCCCACGGTCGGGCTCTGCGCCCTAGACTCCTGGATGGAGACTCGCATGCACACCGAGGAGTGAGGCCCTGAGAAGTCCTGCAGTGAACCGTGTTTCCCAAACGTATTTGGTCAGAGGGTCGTTGCTGGATTCCCAGTAACATCCGTGGACTCCGATTATCACCCCCCACCCCAAATTTCAGTTTGAAAACCAACGGCTGATTCTGCTGAGACTGCAAATTGCTTGCATTAATTACACTTAATTCTCACATGCTTTCTCCTGCGCGCAATGGGCCCCACACAGGACAAGGCTGGGGACACAGTGGCCTTATTGATGGTTTCTCCCAGCCTCAGAGCAAGCCCTGGCCCAGGACCCACGGGACTTGAGGAAATGGAGCCCCTGCCTGCTCACCCCATTAATAACCCCAAACAAGGCCTCCAAACTAGATGTGGGGAGCATAGGCGGGGAGGCCCCTCCACCCCCACTGCCGGGGGGCCTTCAGATGCAGGGGTGGGGGCTGCTCACCCGGCACACGAAGCACTCGGGGTGCCAGAGGGTGTTGAGGGCCGAGATGTAGTTCTCCAGGATGGCCCGGGCGCAGCCACCACACTTGGGTGCGAACATGTCAAAGTAGTCCTTCCGGCAGTAGGCCTTGCCGTCCTTCTCATGGAACCCTGCGCGGCGTGGTTCGGGGGCAGACTTAGGGCCTCCGTAGGTGGAGCCCCCAGCTCCAATGCCAGCAAAGCCCCCGCCTCCCCAATGCCCCCAGGGGCAGCAAGTCAGCCTGCTGCTCACTACCTTCAGGACCGAAGAAGGCGCCGCACTGAGCACAGAAGAAGTGCTCGGGGTGCCACGTCCGGTCAAGGGCTGTCACCACTTTCTGTGAAAGCAAAGTGTGGGGTCAGAGTCGAGCCGCCCCCCGATGGGGCAGATCCCGCAACTGAGGCTCACAAGCAAGGCTGTCCTTTCCTCCTTCCCAGCTCCCCAGCCAAGGAAAGAGCAAACATTGCCAAGACGGGGGTCTCTCCTAAGTACCGCTGAGAATTTGGATTTACTGAAGGAGGTGGCATGCCAGACACTCTCTCCTTTATCTTCACATGTGATGGAGCTCACGGGTTCTATTGTGACTATTACTTATGTGAAGAAACTTAGGCTCAGAGAGGCTAGGCATTTCCCTGAGTCACATAGTGGGAGAGAGGGAGCCAGCGCTTCACTGCATCGATCTGCGCAGGGCTCCCAACCTCTAAGTCTGCGCAGGAGGGAACCCAGGGCGGGAGGCAGGCGGGGGTGGGGGCCTGGTGTGCATTAGGACTGCTGGGCACCAGGCCTGGCTTGGAATCCCAGACCCACCATGTCCCAGCCCTGGGAGCTCGGACATAGGACAGGCCCTCTGTGAGCCTAAGGGGGCATCGCCCGCACCCTCTGAGGGTGACAGTGAAGCCGCAGCGAGCAGCGCTGCCCCTGCCCACTGTGCCCAGGACTCACATCCAGGATGGGACCGTTGCAGTAGTAGCAGCGCGGGGAGAAGAGGGTGTGATAGTCCTTTTCACAGTAGGGCTGTCCGTCCCGCTCAAAGAAGTTCCGGGACCCGATCTCCTCCTGGCAGTGGGTGCAGACAAAGTGCTCGGGGTGCCAAGTCTTCCCCATGGCTGTCACGACCTGAGGAGGGAGCCAGACTGTGACAGAAGGCCCTGGCCTGCCATGAAGCACCCTTCTCGACCCTGCCCCCACCCCACCTCACCTGCCCGGCGATGGGCTTCTTGCAGGCCCCGCAGACCCCTTTGGCGACTGTGGCGACCCCCAATTTGTTCAGGTCCGACTGCAGGCTCCCCAGCATGCTGTCTAACTGGCTCCCGGGCTTTGGGGGCCCTGCAGGGGGAGAGCTGCTCCCTGTCTTCCCCTGGGCCATGAACTGTGGAGACAGGGAAAGGGCAGATCAGGACTGGGGGCTTTTCTCCACTCTGGACACCTGGGCTGGTGGAGGCATGAATTGCAACCTCCTCCAGGGGCCTCGAGGGCCCTGGGGGCGGAGGTGACGTCCCAAAGACATCCTGGTGGTCAGAGAGGCTCGTGGCACCACGCCGGCCTGACCAAGGCCTGGGAAGCACGGCAAGCAGGACACTGAACCCCCAGCCTTGGCACTGACCCCTCCCTCGTCCTGCCCTTCGGGGCTGCTCTGCCTGCCATTCGGAGGCCCGCCGGCCGCCCAGCACAGCTCTCCGTCTGCTCTTTGTTCCACGCCCTGGATCTTAAATAGGGGAGAATACAAGGATAAGACTTTTTTTTTTTTTCAATTAAAGAAGAAAGAAGAAGAGACCGTGTTATTGGACCATCTCACAAAAGGGAATTTAGGGTAAGAGGATTTCCCCCTCCCCACACACTGGCAGTACCAAAACCAGGAGACAAAGTCTAGCAAATCCCAGGGAAAGAGCAGAGGGAGGAAGGTGAGCCAGCCAAAGGCAGGGACCCCGGAAGGAGTGGGACTGAGGCCAGAGAGAGAGAGGCTTCCCAGGCTCTGGGCCTGGGGGCTGCAGAGGAGGAACAGGTTTTTGGTTTCCCTCCTGGGACGAGCTTCCTGAGAAGGGGCCTAGGCAGGACGGAGGCAGAGGGAAGGAGCAGGCAGGAGGAAACCCGCGGGCAGGCAAGAGGACAGCTGCCGTCCTGGGGGGTGGGAGCCTGACGTGAGGGCCCAGAGTCAAAGGAAGGTCTGGGGAAGGACTGCCGTAGTGCGCTGGGCTGTGCGCGTGTGCGCACAAGCGGGCTCACGCGGGGGCCCCAGGGCCTGCCTGCAGCGGGGGAAAGAGCGGGTCCTCATCCGTCTGGCAGCCCACGGACCTCACAGTGTGGGGCGCAGGAAGGGGAGGGGCGGGCCCCTGCACGTCTTCTTCCCGCGACCCTGCCCCGGCATTCTGGGCCCCCGGAGACCCCCAGGGGAGAGCTGAGGGCCCCAGGGTGGAGGGGACGGGCGTGCCGGGTGGGGGGGAAGGGCCGCTGGCCGTGGCATCTCTGTGATGCTGGAGCAAAGGGACAGGAGGAGGAGGAGGAGGAGGAGAAGGCAGAACAGGGAAGGTTCTTCTCAGAGGAATGGGAGAGCCGGGAGGAAAAACCACCTGGGGAGAAGGAAGGAAGGAGAGAGATGAAGAAGATGGCGGGAACATCAGCTTAGCAAGCAAGGGCACAGAGAGGCGATGTCCCCAGGCTTCCCCAGGACCCTCCCACTCTGACCCCCACCACACACACACACCCAGCTCCCCTCTGGCCAGAGCCGGAGAAGGATCGGGATGCCTGCTGCCCTGCCACGCGTGGGCTGGCCCTGGGCACCCCGCTACCTTCTCTACCAGCTGCCCCTCAGCCCGCCTCCCTCTGGGCTGAACAGTGATGATGACGCCCTCTGTCATCCAGTCCTCGGTGGAGGCCCCTGCGGCCCCCGCAGCCTCCTCGGCCTCCGGCTGGATGCCCAGCCGACCCTGCAGCTCTGCGATGAGCCGCTCCTGGGAGGGGGTCCTGCTCAGGGTGGCGGGGTCCAGCCGGCGGCGAGGGGAGGGCTCCCGGGACATGGGGTGCGCGTGGCCCGTCTCCCGGCTCCTCCTGATCACCGAGCGGATCTGAGGGGGGAGGGGGAAGCCGTCACAGCCCCACTCTGGGCTCTGCCAAAGCTGCTCAGTCTACACTCGGGTGCCCCAGGCAAGGGAGGGCTGGACCAAACCGCCCGAGAAGAGCCAAGCTGAGGTGCGGTGGAGGCAGGGCCAGGGCAGACTCCTGGCACCCAGCTCCACGTCAGCACTGACCTTGGGCAAGACAATTCACTTCTAGGGGCCTCAGCTCCTCTACCCTTGAAATGGGTGACAGTATTTTCTTGGCTGCCTTGCAGGGTTACTGTTTCTTGTTTCTAACCTACTGGTTTGTAGTGGTTTTTGTTTTGTTTTACTTTTGAAAGGGTATGACATTTTGATCAAGCAAGAAGCAAATACTAACAGTAACATCAGTCATGGCTTATTGAGGGCCGTGTGCTGTATTCTAAGCACATTCCAGGCATTATCTCATTTAATCCTCTGGACAACCTTGGGGGGAAATGGTCTACTATTACCCACATTTGAAAGATGAGAAACTGAGGCTGGAGGGGGGTTGCCCAAGGTCACACAGGCAGCAAGTGCTGGGGGCAGGGTTGGTAATCAGTTCTAAGGGGTCCCCAAGCCCATGCTTTTAACCACTTCGAGTACATCGCCTCAGGGTGTCAGGGGAGTTCATCTAAAGGAAAAAGCCTTAAACAAACAAAAAGCGGGTTGTTACTAAGAGAGATTTCCAGGCCCAGGCAGCGCCACTGGCCCCACAGAGACCACTGCTGAGGGCTGGCCGTCAGGGTCACAGGCCACGGTATCTCAGGACTGCTGCCCAAGCAGACATGCGCAGACCGGGAGGTGGCATGCAGTTAGGCAGGAGTGGCCCACACTCAGGCCCAGCGAGGGCCGGGCCTGGCAGCTGTGCAAGCTGGCGCCTGCCTGGCCAGAGGTGGAAATCCTCTCGGTGGTCTTGGGCGAGTCTGCGACCACGGCATGTGGAAGCTCCGGCTTTTCTCTCTTGGTCTCAGCGGCAGCTTGGGTGGCGCCCTCTGGCCTCCTGTGTGTCTCGGGTCCCTGGGCTGGCCTGACCAGGCTTCCCCTCGCAGGCATCTCTTCACCTAACTGCTCCTCTTCAGCTGGAGCCGGGCAGTTGCTCCCCAGCCCCGCTGGCTCTGGCCTCGCCCTCCCCCTCAGCTGTCCACACTCCTTCATGAGACTCCAGGTATCTGGGAAGATGGCCTGACGGTCTACAGCTACAAGAGCTGGCTCGGCCACTTCCTGGAAGCTGGGCGTAGCTCCACGGGGAGTCTCGGGCCTGAGCGCCTCCACAGCCCACGGCTGCTCCCACGTGGCAGCCAAGGCCTCCTCTGGGTACACGGGGTTGACCGACAGCCCTCGGGGGTCTCCAGGCTCCTGGGGACTGGGATATGGAGCTGGAGCTGCGGGTAGACTGGGGCCTGGGCAAGCCCTGGAGAGCTCACTCGGGAGGTTTAGCACATCCCTGCAAACTTGAGCCCGGCTCTCTGCACCAAATGGCCCCAGAGAACCCTTTGCAGAGGAGGACCTTGAGTTAGGAGTGTCAGGTGTCGCCCCGAGGCCAGCTGTCACCCCAAGGCCAGCCAAATCAAGCCAACTGGGGGCCACGGGAGAGAAAAGGCCCTTTCCATTATCATTATCCTCGACAGGGAGGACCTTCGGGGTGTGACTGTGGCCTCGTGGGGTGGGTTTAGTCAGGGATGGCCCGGGGGGAGGAGGAGAAGGAGGAGAAAGTATGTGGTGTGAGGATGGAGCTGAGCTGGGCAGCAGCCCCAGGGAGTTCAAGGCCACAGCAGAGGAGCTGGTCTGGAGGAGGAGAAAGACAAAAGGCAGAGGGGAGGAGAAAGAGAAAGCAGAGAGGTGAGAAAAGAGGTTGCTGCAAGGCACAGCTCGACCTCAGGGTGTTGACCAGGGTGGTGCAAAGCTGGCACGAGGACTGGCCCTCCCAGAAGACCCAGACACCCACCAAGGTCTTTCTGGGCCACGTGGCCTTGGCCCCCGTCCACCGCAGGCCGCAGGAAGCAGCCTCTGAGCAAAGCCTGTGGAGCACCCCAGTCAGAGTCGGTAAAAGGGAGAAAAGACTAAGGTGCGGTGGCTACGGGAGACAGGTGACTAGGGAGGCCAGCCCGGGCACCACCGAGGGAGGATCAGCCGCAGGGAGCTGGCTGCACTGCCTCCTCCAGTCTTGGTTCGACTCTCAGCTCGGTCTCCCCCAGACAAACGCAGCTTCCCTACCTCCCCAGACCCTGCTCTAGGTGCGCAGCTAGAGCCAGCTCAGCCTCGCGCGGGGCATCGTGGTGCCAGTCTCAGAAAGCAACATCGTTCTAAAGGAGGCTAGCACAGGGCTCCCTTAGGCCAATACCTGGGCCCAGCAGACTTGCTTCTGACCGCGGCCGCTTAGAACTGCCAGTAGCTCGCGCTTGCTTCCCAGCCCCACTGCCCTCCCTCACCACAAAACCCCAGCTGAAAGAAGGTTTGGAGGCACCATCAGGGCCAAGAGCGCACAGACCACTCGCTCTCCTTCTCAGATTCCCTAAGTCATGCGCCAAAGGTCGACCCATGTGGAAAAGTGCAGTCGGCAACTGTTGGAGAGTCAGTCAATGTTAATCCCCGGGGAGGCACGGCATCTTCTCAATAAAACAGCTCCGGCCGGGCGGGCCTGGGGAGGCCTGGGAGGGGCAGGGATGGGGCGCCGCATGCAGGACTGGCCCAGGAGCCTGACGGGTTAGGTTTCCCACAGACAGAACTTGCGGGAGACGCAGAGGCCCGTGGAGGAAGAGGGGGTAGGGTAGGAGGCTGGCAAAGGAGGCCTGTGGATCCAGAAACCAGAGGCAGAAAGAAAAAGGATGTGTTGAGGACAGCCAGCGTGGGAGTGGGGCTCCAGGGCAAATGACTTCTCAGGCACAGGATCCCAAGTCCCACATGACCCAGAAGAGAATGCCCACCCCCACCAAGACCAGCCACCAACACAGGGCCCTTTGTCCCAGCCTCCTGACCCCTGCCCTGAGTGGCTGGGAGCTGGGAGCACTCGGCAGGAAGGAATGTCTCTGCTGAGCACTCCTCTGCCTTCACAGGATCAGAGGCGGCTCGGTCCCCACTGGCCGGGCCTAGCCCTCCTTCCCCCATATCCTGGCAAGGCCAGGGCTCTGCAGGGTCCCTGGCTCAGGGCACGTCACCCAAATTACAGGGCCGAGTTCCCGCTACTCACTCTGAGGTATGGGAGGAGAAGGGTGGGGGAGACACGGGGCAGGAAAGAAGAGGAGCCTCAGAGCACCTTGAAATCCGACAGGGAAGCCATCAGCTCGTCCAGCTCCCTGGTGGCAGAGGAGGCTGAGATTCGCGTCTGCTGCTGGCTGGGGGTGACGCGCTGAGGGCTGCTCATCTCGCCCTGGTTCACAGTGATGGCGGGGCTGCAGGGCAGGCGTGACATTGGCATGGATCCCAGAGCCCGGCCCCAGGCGCCCCCCCGAGCGTCCTCCCCACCTCAGGACATCAGCACATCAGCTCTAACAGTGGGACCCCACGACCTCCAACCCGGGGACACCGGCCAGCTCCCGGTCTCTGTCAGGAGAAGGGGCAGCTCTCACCCCAGGAGAGAGCTCCGAGGCGAGCTGACAGGGGAGGAGAGAGGGCCGCTCAAATGACAACTCCCCCAGGGAGGCGCCTCTAGTCCTGCAGCCCACGCGCAAGCTTGCCGGCTAAGGAGCCCAGCACCGTGTATTCTCCACGGCGCTGTTCGTACATGTGCAGCTGTCCCAACAACATGGCCCCACTGAGAAGCGCTAACATTTAGAAAGCACTCACCACCTACATCGCCTGCCTTGAACCAGAAAGTGTGACTGGGTGTCACCCAATTGAGGCAAGTGGCCTTATCACCATGACCCCACATCCCCTAACCCCGTTTAACAGATGGAAAAACTAAGGCCTGAGAGCCACTTCGTAAGGGCAGACCAAGGTCTGAACCCCGGGGTGCAGCTCCAAAATCTGTGCCAACAGCCACTAAGCTACAGGCGCCCTCACATGCATGAGGTCTCTCTTTTCTGACAGACGGTGGCCCGCAGAAGGCGGGAACGATGTCCGTGCTACTCATCTCCATCCCCTGGTGCTTGGGGCAGGGCCTGGCGGACAACAGGCACTTGCGGAGGGAACGGGTGGCGTGGGGCCGCGTGGGCAGACACTGGAGCACGGGCACCGACCGAGCGAGGTCCCCGCGCAGGCAGGCCCGGCAGGCACTCACACGGGGCTGGGCACGGAGCTCTCCAGCTCGTCCAGGAGACTCTCCACGCTGGGCCGCACGTCCTCCAGGCCACGGCCCCCGTTCCGCTTGGGCTTCTCTTTCATCAGGGGCCCGGCTTTGACCCCCAGCAGGCTGTTGTTCTCCGGAATGCCATAGTGAGGGCTCAGGGCCCCAGGCAGCGGAGGGCTTGAGTTGGTCTCATCTTGGGAGTGGGAGAGAGAAAGAAGACTCAACCTCAAGCTCTCTGGGGAGGAGGTGGGCCAGCAGGTAGGCCCGGGAACTGGCCGCCCCGCCCCAGAGCCCCAGCCCTACCTGCGGGGAAGCCTGGAGGGCTGTGCTGCACAGCGTTCAGCTCCAGCAGCAGGCGGTCAAGTTCGGAAAGGTTGCTGCCCAGGGAGGAGCTCATCATGGTAGGTGAGGGCTCAGCCGACTTCTGCTTGTTGGGGAAGCTTTGAGAGACAAAGGGAAGACCACACTGAGACGTGCTCCCCAGCTTTGTGGACCCCCCAATATTCCAGGAGAATAAGGCAGAGCGGACATGAGGTCTCCACAGCAAGAGGACTGAAAGTGGAGAAGGGATGTGGTAAGAGGGGAGGAAGGAAGTCTTGCCTCATTGCCTCAACTACATGGGTAACATGACAGCTGATGTGTGTGTGTAAATGGCAGCAGATGGCAGCAATAAGGCTACCAGCCCAGCCAAGAGGCATATTACAAGCTGGCCAGGAGCCTCGGGGACGTCTCTGGTTTAGTCCAATGACCTGAGGCGTGATCCCCACAGGGCCGTGGTCATGCCTGAACCCTGGCCTGGCCTAGGCTCTCCAAGCAAGAGGGCAAGGCGCGCGGGCAGCGGCTGGGGCAGTACCTGTAGACGTGCTCTTCCTCGCCGGCTCGGGGACAGGGAGGGCCAACACTGTCCTGGGGGATGGAGGCACTGGACGTTTTGGCACTGGAGCCAGACACGGGCGGCGGAGACTGAGGCTGCAGGAAGGGGAATGCTCAGAACCTCCCCGGGGAGAGGAAAAGGGATAGCCCACGTCACCCGCAGGAGGCTGCTGCTCCCAGTCAGTCTCACCAGGGAATTTCCGCACTCGGGCTGGAGGCAGGTGATTAACACTTGGTCACTGCCCCCCCCTCACGTGGCATCTGGTGGGGAGGGGTGGATGTTTCCTGCCCTTCTCCCCTTCCCTGAGCCCGCTCCTCCCCTGGATCCCTAAGCTGCCACCCGACAAGCTACTTCAGCCCCAAAGCCTCTGGCAGCATCAGTGCCCGTCCCCACCTACCTGCTGGTGGACGAATCGGGAGGCGTTGGGCTGCCACTGGTCTAAGGGGTCAAGGAGCGCACCATTGAGGGCCTCACTGGATGGGGGTGGAGGGACAGGGGGCGGCACAGCAATCTCCTGGTATGTGTGGTTTCCAGTTGGGTAGGAGTAGGGGGTCTCCTCAGACAAGAACACGGGCCGCTTAGAGATGTGGGAGGTGGTGGACTCCAAGTCCTCCAGCAGGGCGTCTGCAGAGGAAAGGCACAGGGAGTGGGTAAGAAGCAGGGATCCCGGGATCCAACTCTCCAAGGACAGTGACCTCCCCGCCTGCACCCAGAGTTAATGACAGGAACATCTGCCCCGCCCATGGGAGAAATGACTAGCCTCAGGTCAGGAAGATCCCAGCTCAGCCCAGCCTGGCTAAAAACCAGCTCCCAAAGCTGGTCTCTGCACCCCAGCCCCCAACTGAAGGTGCTCTGGGGGTTCGTGGGGCTGCCCTTGAGGCTCTCCTACCTCCGGGAGTCAGGTACCTGCATTGCCTCCGGACAGGGCTGAGCAGCTGGCTGGCTGGCTGGCTGGGAGTCAGAAATGCCTGCCTAGAGACCTCAGGGCTCTGACTCGGCAGGGCCCAGCGGAGAGAATGGGTAGGAGGGGCCCCACGTCACTGGGAGGGGCTGGGAAGGGCCAGGTCTCACTTAATTTCAAAGCACTTACGCTTTCTCAGCCTCCAGGCTGGAAAGGCCCCCTGGGGTGGCACCTGTCTTCCTGACCACCGAGAACCACAAGCCCAGGCCCCAGCTCATTCCAGGCTGGGGGGGGGGGGGGCCTGGGACGAGGCCGGTGCAGTGCTCCCCACCCCCTCAGACCAGCCAGGGTGGGGAGGGGCGGCAAGACTGCTCCGTAGGCTGTTTCTGCGGAAGCCTGGCAAACAGCCTGGCCGAGGCTCCAGGGCACCCACTATGCTGCTTTTGCCGGCAGCAAGGGAGCTGAATTGGCCCTCGGCTGCAAGCTTCTGCTACTCTGGCTCTGGGCAGACAACGGAGGGGTGTGGAGTCTCCCCCGCCTCCAGAGGAGAAGGGCACAGCAGGAGGGGCAGGAGCAGGAACTGCTGATCTTCCCCGACCTGACCCTCCCCTCCCAGGACCTTCACCAGCCCCGCAACCTGAGAGCCTGGTGCCACATCATTCCTGCCGCGCTCCGGGGCTTGCTCACTCTCACCGCTCCGGTGGGCTGCTGGGGACTCAGACTCTGGCCCTTGCGATAAAAATCGTAAGAAAGCAGTGGCTGCATTTACTGCCACTTACCAGTGACAGGCACAGTGGTGGAAACCTTGCATTTGTGACCCTCCTACAGCCCCATGAGGTGGAATTCTGATTCTTCCTTTACAGGAGGGGAAACGAGCTTCAAGAGGTGGTGGGACTCGCCCCAGGTCACAAAGCCAGTAAGTGACAGGATGGCCTGACTCCTCAGAAGCCCCACGCCCCAAAAACCTGGCCTGCAAGAGGCCACTGTGATCACTGGACGATTCCATATTTAAATGGTACAACTTCCTAAAGGACGGGGCCCAAGCTCTCGGGGCTGCCAGTCTGACCCCTCCTTGTAGCCCTGTTCCCCACCCCACCCCACCCGGCTCGGAGAAAGCAAAAAGGAAGCAAGGCTCTCACCGGGGCCTTGGTCTATGGACCCACACCGTCTCCCAGCTGCCTGCCTTGCTCTCCTTCCCCCCAGGCCAGCCACACCTACCCCTGGCTCCTACCCAGTGGTTCAGAGGGGAAGCCTGCTCCCAGGCCCAGGGTCCCAGGCCCCACAGCCCAGCACAGACCTCCTGACTTCTAAGGAAGGTCAGTCCTGCGGCCTTCTCCCACTCAGGTCCTTTGGAAGAGAGCTGGCTTCCTGTCTCTAGCAAACCGGAACTAGACTGAGTCAGTGTGCCTAGGTAACAGCAGAAAAGGAACCAGCGTCCCGGGCCAATCCCAGTGCTGTCTCCATAGCCACACCTGCTGCCTTGGCTTCAGGCTGAGTCCCTATTTTCTCTGGCCCGATCCAACGAGGGTGGCGTCCCTCTTTCTTCACCATGGGCACAGCCAGACAGGAAGCCCCACAGGCCTCCCCAGAGCAGGCAACAAGCACAGCCCCGCATCAGGAGCAGCAGCGAGGCTTGAGCACTCGCCGCAGGCCAGGAGCTTCACCTCCGTCACCTCTCTCACAATGACACTAGTTCGGATGGTAAAACTGAAGCCCAGAGGCCAAAGCGAGTCGAAGTGACACAGCTGGGATATGAACTTGGGTTTACTGGGCCCCAAACAGTCAATGGAAGACAGATGGTTACCCTTCCCTGGCAAACCGTCTGTGTGAGGGACGCCATGCCCTCTGCATCACATGCCTTCCCTTGTCACTCAAGATGTGGCTCTAAGTCTGGTTTATTGGTTTATGGACTGGCTTATGATTTCAATGGGCTCTTCTAACACGCATTCATCTGTTAGCCCGAAGGCACAGTCCTGGTGTACAGAGACGAAAGATCTTAGGTTCTGGAGCTGAACCAGAGCTGAGGTCAAGCCCTTGCTGCTCCCTCCATTATCCATGGCCACACAGCAAAACACTTAGCTTCCCTGAGCCTCAGTTTCCTCAGTCAGCCGGAGTGGTTTATGTGGGACAGATGCTATACGACACGTAGGAAGTTGCAAACATCAGGTCTTATTTGCTTTGTGAAATTCAGAAAAAGACCTTCCTTCAAGGAGAGGAGGGTAGGCTGCAAATACTGACTTCTCCTAAGACTTCCAGGGGCAGGATCTGGACAGGGCACGAACAGGATGCCCTTAAAGAGAAAAGCAAAATCATAAAGTAACGATGAAAAGGAAACATGCGCAGACGTCAGGGAAAAGGTGCATCATTTTCCACACTTCCGAGGGAGAGAGAGGAACCCCAGGAAGGACACAGAGTCACAGGATCTGCGGTGTGGCTTCCTTCTCTCTCTCCACCCTTAGTTTCTGTTCAGTGAGCAGACAGGGCTTGGTGCCTCTGTCCCCCAAAACCCTCCGTAAATGCCACAGGGCAGAGAGCCAGGAACACAGGAGGCGGCCGTGGAGCACACTCTGACCACTGTGGCAGATCCCTATGGGTGCAGGGGCCTGCTATCTCCCTGTTGCTGTGTGGCGGTTATGGGCCAAAGTTTCCTTGCGAGTTCAGCAAACTCCTCTGCTTGAGTAAACAGAGGTGGCAGAGGGAGGGCCCCACAGAGGAGTCCACTTGCAGGCAGTGCCCCACAGGGAGGGGTCCCGCCTTCTCAGCCACAGCTACTGCCTGGCACCCACTTCTAAATCCCCTAGGGGTAGGCTCAGAGGTTTCTACTCAGACCCCAAAGAAGGTGTCAAGAAAATGGGGCCGAGTGGAAAGCAGACGCGGTAACACAGAAGCAGTCAGGGCGCGCTCACTGGGGCTAGGCAAGGCCTCTGACTTCCTCAGCATCTCTCCAGGCCTGAGGCCCTCCCAGCAGGTCAGAGCCGCCAGGATTGCCCCAGTCCCGCTGTGGAAGGATGTTCTCCCTGGGGCTTCCCAGCCCCTTTCTAGAGGAAACCACCTAGATTCTGAAAGCTTTTTGCTTCTCTGGGTCAGATGAAGAAGGCCCTGGCACTTCCCTTCCAACGTGTGTGAAGAGAGAAGTTCTCCTCTCCAACCTGGGGGCCAAGAGGGGCAAGGGCGCTGAGTGCCAAGCCTCCAGCCGGGTAAGGTCACTGACCTACGCCCTGGCGACGAAGGGCTGTAGTTCTTCCGCCGCTTCCCGCCAGAGGGCGCTATTGGCCCACCGCTTCCTGCCATGGGGGTAACCGAAGGTAACCTCGCGCAATCACGGAATTTCAGGCGAGGAAGTCCCGGGAGCCCAGCGCCACCGAGGCACAGGGTAAATTTCAATGCCGGGAAGCTCGGCTGAGTTGGAGGAACAAAGCAGGCTCCAAGGAGGAGCACGAGGTGGCCCTGAGTGCCAAGCCTCCGGCCCGTGCCTGGATCCGAGCAAAGCTCAGAGCAGCAGGGGCTTCAGGCCGGGAGTCCGCCCAGCACGGAGCACTTGGACCAGGCCAAGACAAGAGTGTTTACTCCGGCCTCAGCCACTGAGCCGTCGTGCGTATCCCTGAGGGCCTGTCGGGAGCTGCAGATCTGCAGACTAGAGGGGGTTAAGACACAGGTGTCAGGCTCACTGCTGCTCGAGGGGACGAAGGGCAGAGCCAGTCTGCCCGCATTCCAGGGCCAACCAGCCCAAGGGTACTGGTCAGAGGAGGGAGTGTGGGGGGGAGGGGGGGGAGAGCACCCATCCTCCCAAGGTAGGGGATGCCCCCAGACTATGGCCCTGGGAACTTAGGCTGACACATGGCACCCAATAAGTTAAAGAGAATCAATGAACCCCTTCCATCTCTAACTTCGACTAGTGTATAAAAAGTCAGAACTCCAACAAGACTAGCTGCTTCCTCCTTCCCAAGCCCCAGCCACTCCTCAGTATGCGATAAAGACTATCAAGAGGTCTAGAGCTGAAGAGGCGCCAAGGGAGTAAGATAAAAGTCCATCCAGGATCCCTGAACTGCATGTGTGTGGCGGGGGGCGGGGAGGGGATCCCGAGCCACTCCCTCCTCCCAGGCTCTGAGAGCGCTAAGCTGTCAGAGCTCGCACAAGGGGATTGTGAGTCACACAGACTCAGCTCTGTGGCTGAGTCGCCCAGCCAGGCTACCTGACTGACTGTTTTCTTGTGCCTCTGTTTTCTCGTGCCTCTGTTTTCTCGTCTGTCAGATGGGAATTTCACGCCCTTACTCACAGGAATAAGATTACCAGAGAAAGCAAATGTACAGTGCTTGCTCAGTACAGTCCCAGAATAGGGCACACACTCCGTATGTGGGAGCTGCTAAGCAGACAGGAGCTCCCTCTCAGAGAGGCGGTTCACCCTGGAGAGGACAGAGAAAGCGCCCCCCAGCCTACCCCACGCCTGGGCGCAAAGGCTGCTGCAGTCCTGGGTTAGTAGTCAGGGGCACCACTCGGGGGAAACCACAGTCACCCTGGAGAAGCCTCCCAACAGGGCTCCAGGGACAGCACAGGTAAATGTGGGGCACTATCGGGTTCCAGAGTCTTCACTGTCACACCTGTCCCAGTGCTGGGCCCCTTGACAGATGGACCCCTCCACTCAGCAGCCCCAAAATGAGAAGAGATGGGGTCCCCGGGCCATCTGGAAGACCCCACCTCAACAGGCCGAGGAAAGGCCCACAGT